CCGCCTCCGCCGCTGTTGTTTTTGCGATTGAACCTTCTTTGGAGCTTGGCAAGCTGATTTTCAGCGTCCGGGATCCCAAAGCCGCCATTCTCCGCCCGCCCACGGGCCACGGGCTCTCCCTATAGGCTGGAGATCCGCACAGCCTGTCGGGAGCCCCGGGCTTTCCCACAGAGTTTCAGCTGGTGAGGAATCGTACTCTGCCTCACGGCTGCTATTTCCAATCAAGCCAAGCATCGCCACCTGACTTCCCCCAGGGACGCCCTCTTCCCAGACCTCCACCAGACAGCTCCAAACAGCGCGGCCCTTTCCGCTGGCACACCCTGTAGGTTTGAGTGGTAAAGGTTCTGACAGTTCGCCTGCTCTTCCAACCAGCGGTTCCTGATGCTCCATTCACTCCTAGCTGGGCCTTTTCTGGGCATCCAGGGCAGGGAGTGATCCAATATCAGCACCCTGGCTCAGGGGCTTCCTCCTGGGGCTACCTGGGGCAGGGTTGCCAGGTGTAGCAATTATACACTTGGAACTCCCAGTTAAATTTGAATTTCATATAAATGTTTTTAAAAAGATTTATTTATTTGAAAGGCAGAGTCACAGAGAAGGGAGAGACAGGGAAAGAAAGAGATCATCCATCTGATGATTCATTCCCCAAATGGCTGCAATGGGCAGGGCTGGGCCAGGCTGAAGCCAGGAACTTCAGCCAGATCTTCTAACAGGGTGCAGGGGGCCCAAGCACGGAGGCCATTGTCTGCTGCTTTCCCAGGTGCCTTAGCAGGGAGCTGAACTAGAAAGTGACAATTCACGGACAGTCGTCTGGCTGCTGCCTGGGATGCTACCATGCTGTAGTACTCCAGTTCTCATCCCAGCTGTTCTGCTTCCAATGCAGCTTCCAGCTAGTGCGCCCAGGGGAGGCAATGCCCACCCACACGGAAGACACGGCTCCTGGCTTTATCCTGGTCCAGACTTTACTGTGACCATATGGGGGAGTCAACCAGCAGATGGAAATTCTGTCACTCTTTGTTCATTGCTTTGCTTTTCAAATACAGCAAATAAACCCTACAAAAAAAAAAAAAAAAGGAGCAATGCCAGTTTGTCAAGTGTCATCTAATGTTTGTAGCTTCTCACACAGAAATGCTACCTGAGGGATGTGATATCACTGTCCATCCTTCAGAGATGGGAAGACTGAGGGATATAGACTTGCCACATCCACACAAATCCAGTGTAAACGTTTAACTTTTTCTTTTTGTTTCCAAATACTATGTTCTCGGTTGCCCTGCCCTTCCTGGCGGGTAAGCACATCATCACTTGCTTTTTTTTTTTTTTTAAGGGTCACTTTATGTACTTGAAAGGTAGAGTTACAGAGAGGGAGAAACAGAACAACTTTCCATCCCCTGGTTCATTCCCAAAGGGCCACCATGCCTGGAGATGGGGTGAACAGAAGCCAGGAGCCCAGAGCTTCATCTGCCAGTTCACTCTCCAGCTGGCTGCAACAGCCGGCACTGGGTCAGGCTGAATCATCCTCCACTACACTCCCAGGCCAGTCTCAAGGAACTGCAGTAACAGTGGAACAGCTGGGACTCAAACTGGCACCCCAGGGGATGCTGGCACCACAGGCAGCAGCTTTGCCTGCGACACTACAGCACTGGTCCCAATCTTTACTTTCTTAAAGTCTGTGTGGACCCAGTTCTAGTTACCAGATTTCCACTTCTCATGTTTTGTTCTAGATGAAAACTCTTATCGGGGATGTTTCAGGATCCAGAGGGAGCTGGCAGCCAATGACATTTCCATAGAGGAGCAAGCAGCATGATGTGGCCTAGCACAATATTGCTTAGCACTTTTGAGCCTTGCTACCCTTACAGATAAATTAACCAAAGCTAAGAAGAACAAAACTTGTTTCCACAAGGGATTGTGCCTGGAAGTGGTTATTTTATTTGCTCAAAGTTACAGAAATTACAGCCCAGAAGGCATTCATGGTTACTCACTTCTTGTTCAGAATTTGTGGGAACAGGATGGAAGTCATGATCCTTGATGACAAACTTGAAGCCAGAACAGCCGGATGGAAGCACGGTTGCCCATCCCTGGTGTCTCCACCAGGCCCAATCACACAGGCATGACCCAAACCACACAGACCCAACCCATAGCACACAGGCCGGGCCCACACCCCAGAGGCATGGCCTAATCACTCAGGCATGACCCACATCCCGTAGGCACAGCCCACTTCACACAGGCATGGCCTGGATGTGCCCTGGGTGGCTGTAGTATGACCGTGTGTCTTGTCTGACTCTTCACTTTGTCACTTTGATAGGAGTGAGGCAATAAAGACTAGCAGTTTTCACATGTTCAGACTTTAGTTTTTTAAATCAACTATGGCTATAAGCAGAGTAAACTACAATGAATTTAACATGTAAAAAATATATATTCCTAGTAGGAAATAAATAAAGTCCTAATTCTTTTCATGCTGTAAAGACAAACTTCCAGTCATATTAGAAAATTCCTCATTGCTGTCAAGCATTGGTTAAACTCCATTTGCCATAGGGGGAAAAAAAGTCTCCATGTGTGCATTTCTGATCGCAAGCACATGACTCTACCTATAGTTAAGGGACTCAAAATATCAAGACTGATTGGTTTGAAGGGCAGAACACCAGCAACACACACACACACACACACACACACACACACACACACACACACACACACACACACACATTTTCCATCCACCGGTTCACTCCCCCAAAGGCTGCAGCAGCTGGTCCTGGACCTAAGCCAAGACGCAGGAACTTCATCATGGTATTTCAAACGGGTGGCAGGGACCTGAATAGTTGATCCATCCCCTGCTGTTTTCCCATTAGCAGGGAGCTGGATCTGAAGTGGAGTGGTTAGGACCTAAACCAGTGTTCCGATATGGGATGGTGTTGTGGCAGGCGGTGGCTTAACCCGCAGTGCCGTAACACCAGTCCCCCAAGACTGGGACTTCTAACGCATCTTCTAAAAGACTTACGTGCTTATTCAGTAACTGCCCTCTCAGTTGCTATTGTCCATACAATCGGAATTACATATGTTACTAGCACTATCATCAGCAGAGTGCTATTCACACTTAGGTCGCCCAGGTTCAGAGCTGTACCTCATACATTCCAACATGAGAGTTCTTGACTTTGTGACACAGCACGGACCTGAAGACAGCATTTTTAAAAAGCTAGTGGAGCACACAAACAAGTATTGAAAAGTGAGAGAAATTTGCTTCAAATACTCACTCTCTGGAAAACACGACGACAAATAACTTGCTAGCAGCTGCCCAGGCATCCTCAAGAGGCAGGGGAGGGCCAGCCTTAGATGTGCATGTCCCCTAAGTTTTAAAAATGCGTCTATTAATAAGGTACAAAGTTTTGACTCAAGGTCACTGGAAATGAACTTGGGCTCAGAGGAAAAGTTTTCAGGGCACACCCAAACTGGAGTAAACCGCTGGCAAGACTTTCCGTGAGCATCTTCCTTGTCACCTTTCCTGGCATCAGAGCCTGGGGACCTTCCCAACCTCCTCTCTCCTCTTGGGGGGGGTCAGTAGAGGTGCCTGAAGAGCTGAGCTGGCAGGGACGGTGCACACAACAGGGCATGTAGGAGCCCATCGCCCTGGCCCCCAAGGGCTCGGGCTGGCATCCTCTGAGGCTGGGGGTGGGGCAGTGTGTTGAGGGCTTTGCGCAGGGCCCTTCACTACACGCTGCCTCAGCCTCCCCTCTGCTTACCACTCAAACCACAGCAAGGGCCACTTTCCAGTGTCGCACCCAACTAGCTGCAGTGCCTAAGCCCGAGCCTGAGGCTCACAGTGCAGTCGAGGCCAAGGTGAGCACAGCTTTTCTGGAGAGAGCCACCTGGTACGTGCTGGAGGCTTTGCTGATGTGTATATTCTAATAAAGCTTTATTTCCAAGGACATGGGAAAGGACTGGCTTAGAGCCCTGGAAACAAGTTGTCCCATCTCCTAGATAAAATCACACATGGCGCTTCTCTTCCGACAATAATGTACCACTCATAGTTCTGGCCAGATAATGTCCACTCCCACAATGTTTTGTCCAGCAGGGTCCTGCTATCCATAGAAGATCATTCTAAGGTTTTAGTGGATGCCTGAAATCATAGGTAATGCTCACCGCTAGGTATACCATGTTTTCTTCCTATACAGACTTACAGTAATGCTCAATTTGTAAATTATGCATAATTGGAAAATAACAACAGTTCTAACAACATACTGTAATAAAAGTTCTGTGATGGTGGCCTCTCTGTGTCACCACAGTGGACGGGAGCTCTTGCACTCTGGATCTGCAGATGTGGCAGAGACAGCTGGAGTGCCCTGAAGAGTCAATATTTATGACCTACAGTTGCACATCAGCCTGATTGGAAATGGAGGGAAGCCTGGAGGAGCCGACTCTGTGTCACTCAAAAACCTGGGCACAGAGCTGCTCTTACCTGCAGCTAATGGAGGAGATGTGATCAAGAGCAGAGGGTCGGTGACAGGCGCGGTACAGAGGAAAGTGATTAATCAGGCCTGCACGGCACCTGAGAGGCTAAAAAAGGGGCCATGCATCTTCCCAAGGAACCAGATCTAAGTCAGCACTGAAGAAGCCACTGTTTAATCAAGAGGGCTTTATGGACGCGAAGCGCCTGACTGCAGAACCAGAATAGAGAGTTATAAAAGTTAGAGTAGCAGGAACCACAAATCACAGAATTTCTTTCAGGTAGAGGAAATCATGGCCATTTCCTTAGCCACCTGTTGCATATTACCCCTGGGGAAAGCGGAAGCCCAAGAAAGGGGCAGCAACCTGCCCAACCAGCGTGTAGAGGAAGATCCTGGGCCATCTCAACTTCCAACTTGATGCTACTTCTAGGGGTAGGGAGGAGGGGGGACAGTTGGATTTCAAAGGGAGCTCGCTGAAGGCATGAATGCTCACGATAGGATGAGAAATGGTCCCAGGAAACGTGTGAAATCTGCCAGGAGGAAAAGAGGGTGGCCTGTCACTGCTCAGGGGGCTGGCGGGAAGTGCACGGGGTAAAGCATCAAATGGCCGTCTTCCCAGGAGTACAGGTGCTGGTCTCTCATGTTGTAGGCCAGCATGGCAAGGACAGACTGGGAAGTCCTGAACTCGAAGTTGGCATTGATCTGGTTCCCTCCGAGCAGATCAAAGGCAAACGTGACCCTCGTGTCTCTGGTGTCCGTGACGTAGAGGACCCCGCGGGCGATGAAGGCATTGCCGGCCTTGGACTTGGGGTATGTGGTGTTGATGTGCTGCACCACGGAGAAAGTCCTTTCGTCCAGCTGTGCCACGATGATGCTGGAGCCATCCATGCTTGATGCATAGATGATCCACAGGCCCCTTTCGTCCACGGCCAGGTTGAAGTACGTCTTGGAATTGGTGAAAAGGTATTTTCGGTCAAAATAGAGGGCGTTTTCAAGCTTCAGCATTTCAGATGTTTCTTTGCCAAAATCAAATCTGGAATGTGTCAAGCAAAAAAAAAAAAAAAAAAAAGGAGCAGACAGGGGTCACTACTTTTGTGGACAAATGTGGTTTGATGGGTTCCTCTAACTAACCCAAGCAGGTGGCCTGGAGGGAGGCCTGGACGCCTGCTGTAACAGGGCCCCAGTGCTACGGGCAGCCAGGCTGTGCCGCACAGTGAGTGATCACATAGTGAGTGGCTGCTAAAGCCAGCACCTCCTGCAAGCACAAATGAGTTCACAGGGAAGTGACCACTCCCTAGCCTGTGACCCAACCCTCGGGGGATGGCTGGCCCCTGTGGAAGATGACCCAGCCCAATCCTCCCAATTTTACAAATGACAAAGGGGTGGTTGGCCCATGAGTGCAAATGTAAGCAGCGGAGCAAGAGTTTGAAGGAAGGAATTCCAAGCTGGATGGGGCAGGGCTGAGGGTAATTCCTTCATTGTATCCTGTGATTTTAAGGGAACTCTGGATTACATTTAAAAAATTTTTTTCTTTTTAAAAAATCTTTTTTATTATTATTCTTATTATCATCATCATCATTTTATGATACAGTTCCATAGGCCCTTGGGATTTCCCTTATCCCCTCCATTACATTTTTTAAACAAGTGAATTCTGGAGCAAAAGGTTTCTAACTCCATGGATTCAGAGACGATCAGGTTGAAAGTAAACCCCCAGAGGGCGCCATTGAGCAGCACAAGCAGGGACTGAGGGTTTGTGGCTCAGCATCTGAGCTGAACAGTCTTGAAATCAATAAAGAAACCTCGCAGCAAGCATGAGAAGAAAATACAACAGGAAGGGGTGCTTGGGGAGGGCCTGGCCTTCTCGGTTCACAGGGTTTCGCCTTCCTCTGGGTGCTGGGACTTAGTCCTGTCGTGTGCCCAGTCTGGCCCTGGCACCTGCCTTGCTGGGTGAGGCTCCTTTCTCCCAGCAAGCGCAGGGTCTCAGATCTGCCTCTCCCTCTGCTCCCAGCCTGTGGCCAGGCACACAGCAGGGGCTGGGTTTGGGTCAGTGGTCCTTTGCTCCAGGCACAAGCTCCAAGCGAGGTGAGTGGGAGGACAGGTAGAGATGACAAGGGAACCCGGTAGAGGGGGAAGAGGCCTAGGAAGGGACACTGCCCGCTACAGGCTGCCACTGCCTGGCACTGCTGATCTCCTTGCACATTGCCTTAGGTAGTTGTCTCCAACTCAGTCTGGGCTCTCTTGTGCTGGCAGCTTGAAGGCGGGGAGGGGCCCAAGGACCCAGTAGCTTTGAATGCCCAGGACTGAGCCATCCACTGAAGCCAGCAGATGCAAGATGCTCTTTCAAATAAATAGATAAATCTTTCAGAAAAAGAATTTGTCACGAGAGCAGAACTCCTCTGGGAGAGTTGTGAGGCAATGATTGGAGGGCTTGCTGCTTTAGCTAAGAGGCAGTCTGGGTCAGGGGGCCAGCAGGGGGAGTGGGCACAAGAGTGGAAGCATGAAACGAGGGATCTTGTGCCCCTGCAGTGCCTGCTGATCTGCCTATGGTGACTCGGTTCCATCTCTGAGGCCCAGAGCTGCAGCAGCAGCAGCTGCCCAGCCACTGGTCTGGGCGCAATGCCTCCCTCCAGGTGACCACCTGGGACTGCAGAGAGAGCGGGTCTGGCCTCGGGCTGCACTGGGAAGACAGGGTATTCCAAAAGCAAAGTCTCCAGACATGAAGGTGCGGTCCCTGGTCTTCACTCCCAAAGGCTTCCCAGACAAAACTGGTATTTAGGGGAGGAGCCCTGCCCATCCAAGTCCAAGATGCCCCTTGGCTCTGACTTTCCTGGAGTGGAGGGTGAATGGATCAGGCAGGAGCTGGGTCACGGGCTCCATGCAGTATTCGGCAGTTTGTTCAGTTGGCTGATGCTGGGTTACCTGTGACTGTGCGCCAGCCTTAGCGACGTGCAGATGACAAGAACACAGACCTGACCCCTCAGTAGCTCATGAAGGCACCACATGGCAGGTGCTGCCCGAGACACGTGGTCCTGTGATGCTGGGGCAAACGGAGCAGGGGCTGTGGGGCCGAGCGACTCACCTCACGATGGTATTGGAGCCTCCCTTGTGGTAGTAAAGGGAGTTGTTGTAGATGGCGTGGCCACAGCCGTGGAAGTAATACGGCAGGTGGATGAACGTGCAGCTGCCGTTGAGCAGTGAGGGCTGGTCTTTGAACTCCTTCACCATGATGCCTGTGGGGAGGAAGGGAGCGACAGCTGCTGCAAGCTGCCCAGTGCCCACAGGGGGTTCAGAAGGAGGGGCGCCGAGAGTGCGATGTCCCCTCAGGTGCCCTGGCCTTGTGACGAGTCTGACATTCCCACCCTGCCAGTGCAGTTCTCCCAGTGGAACCCCGAGCTGTCTCTCAAAGCTCACGGCTGTAAGGATTGGTTCGGCTCCTCTGGAGAGACCTGGTACTCTACCCCTGCATCCCACTCTGAGATGTTGTATCAAAGCCATGTTGGGGCTCAGAGAACCCTATCTCCCCCCAAAACTGTGTGTTCTGGCATGCTAACCGTTTGGCCCGAAGGAAAAGTGCACACTGCTCCTGCCCGCGCAGGTGCAAGGAGACACCCACAGGAATTCCCTTATCTGGGTTCACACTGCAACAGCCTCTCCATCTCACCCTGTGCCTCCTTATCTGTCTCTGCAAAGGCAACTGAGGAATGTGCCCCCCTCCCCACCTCACCCCACCCTGCCAGGCCATGCCCTTGGTGAGTTCCCATCTGTCCTGTGGGCCCATTCAGATTCCAGCTCATCCCTGCCTCCCCAGAGATCATTCAAACACTTCAACACCCTTGCTGACAGGGGTGTGGGGTCGGAGACCACCCTCCCATCACCTGTTCACCATTCCACATGTCTTTTCTCCTACTGGCTCTTTCCCACTGAATTCCAGGGATCCTTCCGAAAGGCAGAATGGAAACGTTCCCTCTTCGCCGCATCGCACAGGCCCATGTGTGTGCTTGGGGAGATAGGGTTCCCTCGATCTGCTCATGCTTTCTGCTGCAGCGGCTGCCATGGCACCCACATTCCTTTTGAGCCCCAGATCCTTCGGAGCTGAACACCCTGTGGCTACTGTCAGGTGACATGCCAGCCCCAGGGAAGAGAAGCGGCCACTTCTTCTCAGCTGCTTCTCCAGCCAGTGAGCACTGCCAGGTCACCACCATGGATAATCCCTGACCGCCCACCTCTAGGACAGTATGATGGTTCATGTGTAGATGCAGGGTGAGAGCAAGCTGGCCTGTTACCTTCTCCTCTGGGCCCTCTGTCCTGCCCACAGCTGAGAAAGATGGCTAAAGGTATTCTCCTGGGGGAGAGCCAAACTTAGAGCAAGATGGGCAGTGCACCAAGAATTTTATCTTTGGGGGTTAGTGTTGCAGTAAAGCAGGTTCAGCTGCCACTTGCAGTGCTAGCATCCCTGCTAATGCCCCTGAAAAGGCAGCGGGTGATGGCCCCAGTAGTTGGGTCCCTACTACCTACATAGGAGACCAGAACAGAGTTCTTGGTTCCTGGCTTTGGCCTGACCCAAGATCACTTAGGGAGTGAGCCAGCACATGGAAGATTCCCCCTCTTTGTTTCAAATAAATATTTTTCTTAAAAGATTTATTTATTTTTATTGGAAAGGTGGATACAGAGATAAGGAGATACAGAGATCTTCTGTCCACAGATTCACTCCCCAGTGGCCGCAGTGGTTGGAGCTGAGATGAGCTGATCTGAAGCCAGGAGCCCAGAGCGGCTTTCCAGGTTTCCCATGAGGCTGGAGGGTCCCAAAGCTTTGGGCCATCCTCTACTGCTTTCTCAGGCCACAGGCAGGGTTTGTGAACTGGTACTCGTATGGGATCCAGACAAATGCAAGGTGAGGGTTTTAGCCACTAGGCTATCGTGCCAGGCCCAAATAAATAAATAAATCTTTTAAAAAAGAATTTATCTCTGATAACTTCCACTTTGTGTTTAACAGGTTGCAAGGCATAAGCCATCATGCTATTTCTTTACTTTTAAATACTTTGGTTAAAAATGTATAAAGTTGGGGCTGGTGTCATGGCTCAATTCATTAATTCTTCATCTTCAAGTGCTGGCATCCCATGCGGGTGCTGGTTCATTCCCTGCTGCTCCCACTTCTGGTCCAGCTCCCTGCTTGTGGCCCGGGAAAACAGCAGAGGATGGCTCTAAGTTTGGCACCCTGTACCCATGTGGGAGACCCTGAGAGCTCTCAGCTTTGGATTGGCTCTACTCTGGCCATTAAGGCCATTTGGGGAGTGAACCAGTGGACGGAAGATCCTTTTGTCTCCCCTTCTGTCTGTAAATCTGCCTTTTCATTAAAAATAAACCTACACTGCAGCTCCCCAGTCATGCCCCTGTGACCCGAGCTACAAGGCTTACCACTAGCATGTTCAAAAGAAGCAAGTGTTTTGCCCACTCCCTTGTCCTTCAGCGGGGGCTTCAGGTGCAGAGACAGAGTAAGTCTGAAGATGGGCCATGGGCTGAAAACACACTTAGAGCACACAGGCAGAGCATCTGCGAGAGTACCTGAAAAGTGTTCAGTCACCCAGATGCGGCTATCACTCTTGTTAGCAGACTCTCTGATCCAGGTCCCAAACGTCTCCTTCACCTTGAAGACTTGGGTTGGGTTTCCGATGGACGTGATCATGGATTCTGTTGGCAGAAGAGAAAGAGACTGGAGAGTTAGCAACCTGCCCATGACGACTTTAAGGCATCCACCTTCATAACGGGACGCTTTGCTTTAGTACCTGCTTGTGGGGAGTGACGTTCACTGACTTTCTCATCAACTTTGCCAACCAAGGTGTCGTCGTTGGGCACGGCACATGTCTCACCTACAATGACAGCAGCAACATTACCCAGAGCAGACAGAGTTGGCACTGGGAGATGCATATAATATGACAATTGCTGCTCCCCACTCCTTGCTCAGGCCGAGCCCCCCAAGCTCTCCCTTTGCAAGAAGCCCACCGAGTTTCTTGGATTTGGCTCTTCAGCAGACTTAAGCTGAATGTTTCTAATTTTGTTCCCTTGCTTGGTAGGTTCCCAACAAACTTTCTCTGACCACAGTTGTTAAGAAGCAATCCTGGTAGGATGGCAATGCCTTAGTTTACCTTGTCTTGCTACAGTACAACACCACAGACTGAGCACTTTATCTTTTCAAAATTGAAACTCATTTAAGAGATGAGAGAAGACTCCCAGGGACTGGGATTAGGCCAGGAGCCAATAACCCAATCTTATTTTCCCAAGTGGGTAACAGGGGCCTAAATACTTGTGCCATCACCACTGCTTCCTGAAATCTGTATTAGCAAGAAACTACAGAATAGTGCCATGGCTTGAGTTCAGGCTCTCTAGTAGGGGTTTAAACACCTGGCAACAAAGGACTCACTGGTAGAAGGCAAAGGGAGGAGCATGGCTTCTGGTTTAAGCATTATTCATGACCCTGGGTCCAACCTCTGCCTACCCAGAGGCCACCCGAGGGTCTCTGGCTGCAGAGCCTTTGGTCAAACGAATTCTGCAGAAGTTCAGGTCAGACTTCCTCTCGGGCACGGTCCCTGCTCAGGCCGTTGCCCAGGGGTGCTGAGCAGAGGGCTGAGGCTAACAGCAGGTGGAACTGGCTGCCAGCCACCGAGCTGTTTTGCTGTGAGTGAACGGGGTGCTGGCTGTTGGGGACAATGATGAAGAGGCTCTGTTTGTTGGGGACAAAGAGTGGCGATGTGCCCACTTCCAGAAGGAACAGTACACCCCCATTCACCTGCAAACCCTTTAGGAAACTCCAGGTGGGACCCTCCTCTATGTTTTGTACTGAAGTGCTGGCCTCAAGCAGAACCGTCTTGTGGTTTATAGCCAGACAGGTCCTAGGTCCTGGATGCCTCTTCTGGAACCCCATTCCCAAATCACCCAAAAGGTATTTTCCACTTAGTGGGACCCTTGATTTCTAATTAGCTTTCAATTTCATGGCCACTCGCGCTATAACTTAGCAGCAGCACTGCTCAGGTAATCCTGGTCCTTGCTTGGCCTGGGTCACGCCCCAAAGTGTGAATTTCCATCTCTGAGGGTGTTCTGTTGGCAGTCAGGTGAACCTGGGTTTGATCCTGTGTTATCACTTACTAACCAAGTGCTCTTGGAAAAGCTACTAAGCCCCTTGGGTTGATTGTTTTGGATCAACATGTTACAGGAAATAATGCACGCACTGTTAGAGTATTGTTGTAACGATTAGATGGACTAACCGCTGAGCCTGGCGAATCATCACCACTCAAGTCAGTGGCAGTGGGTGGGTGGGTATTAGCACATAAGCCCTTGGTTAGGTTAGGATGTTGGAGTGCCTGGGTGGAGAACCTGACTCCACCTGCCATCACGGCTTCCTACTAATGTGCATCCTAGAAGGCACCAGGTGACAGCTCAAATGGTTGGGTCCCTACAACCCACCTGGGACAGTCGGACTGAGTTCTGGCTCCAGACTTCAGCCACTTCAGTTCTGGCTGTTGAAGGAATTAGGGAAGGAAGCCAGCAGGTTGAGAGCTCCCCGTCTCCCTGTTGACAGCAGTGCTGTCATGGCTATTTGGAAGGAGTTAACCCATCGGAACTTCCCCAGCAGCTCCTGACAGCAGTAAAGCCAGTCATTGTCCCAAGATGGCATTAGTGGAAAAGTGTACAGTTCAGCCTCCAAACCTTTTCAGGGGAGAGGAAAGAGGAATGGCAGCTATGGTGAGGGGGCCTGGTCTGGCGATTAAAGAAAGCAGAGAGATGAAAGAGGGAGGAAGGCCCACTTCTAAACCTGCCTCTAGTTCCCAGCCCAGGGCTGCCTCTCAGCTCTCCCAGTAGTACGCTGCCAGGGGGATGCTCCTTTGCGCAAACTCTCCTCCCTCTTTCTCTGTTTTACATCTGGTCACACACCCTGGGTAGAAGGGCTGTTCTCGGGTGGGGGTTGCTGACCTTCACATTGGCCAGTGAACAGGTGTGGCTGCCGCGGGCCTTTGGCTCTCCTGTTCCCTGGAGGCCCCGGTGGGCCAGGAGGGCCAGGAGGGCCAGGGGGACCAGGGGGACCTGCTGGGCCTGGGTCACCTTTGGCACCTGTATATGGAGAGAGAGAGAGAAGGGGAGGGCAATTAAGGAACAATGGAAGAACTCTAAACAGAGATTCAGCTTCGCCTGCAGGAAATGGACTAGTCATCAGCCAATGAGAGCCTCCCCTTAGGCCACCCCTTCCCAGAGCTGCTTGTCTACGCTGGGTGAAGGACCAGTCACATGGCAGGAATTGTGCTGAGCTTTGCCACACCCCCATTGTTTTTCCACATAACTCCATGGGTGGTAGATGTAACACATCCAGCAACCGTGTCTTGGCCAAGTTCATCAACTTGCACAGAGCCAGGATGCAGGGAGCTTTCCTGGCATAGGGGACAGGCTTGGTCATCTGTAGTCAGGGTTGTAGAGCTCTGCTGGATGCAGGGAGCTCCAGGCACCCTTTGGCTTCATGACCTTGGGCAGGGAAATCAACCCTCCTGAGCCTGTTCTTTACTGGGTCTCAAAGTCTGTGCTCATAGGCACTGCTGTGTGTTGATTCAGCAGTTGTTCTCCCTACATACCTGCAGGTAGCCATGGCCCTAACTTCCCGGGGCACGGACCATTGCTTGGGAGCTTTGCTATAGAGGACGCAGTGTGTGTGCTCCTCAGCCCTCTGTTTTTCCCCGGGTTCTGAGCTGAGAATGGTGAGCAAAGGCCTCCCATTCAGACCAAAGAAGCCTTTTCAGTCTTCCTGAAGGAGACAAATGGGGCGGTAGGGGCTGAAGCTGCAATGCTGTCCCCTCAGCACCAGGCAGAGGCAATGGGGGCTGGCACTCCTGCACCTTCCCCACTCCCCACCAGGAGGCACACTCCACTCTGGCCTGGTTTCCTAATCTATAGTCAAGGTGAACTCAAGGATGGCTTATCATCACCCCCAATTTGTGCAGTGGCTTGACTGGGGGGGGGGGGGAGGTGGTTGTGGGATGCAAGACTCCAAACTGTCAAGTTATCAAAAAAAAAAAGTATGTATTTCATGAAACTAGATCTTAAACACACAAATAGTTCTCAGTGTTATGCATTCTGCTTGTCAAGGTCCCCTGTGTTTGAAAACCAAGTGTGCTCTCCATCCTTAAGGCTCTGTGAGTTCCTCACCCGTTCTGGGTGCTGGGAGGGTGCCTGATTCAGGCTCTTGCCTCTGAGCACCTGTGACCACCCTCGCTCCTCGAGGGCAGGTATCACATCGCACTCATTTTCCAACCGACAGTCGTAGGCAAGGTCTCTGATTCCTAAGTGGTGCTCTTGCGTAGTCAGTAAGTGCTGCTTGAGCTAGCCGGGGGACGCAGATGGCCTCCAAAGCTCTGTGTGGATGTAAAATCCTCCTGCCTATCCCTCCTCAGTGGACCATCAGTTGTCACCTATTCTCTCTGCCAGGCGACTGTCTCGGTGTGGCTTGCTGTACCCCTCTCCTTATCCCCCCAGAACTTTCTCACTTACAAACACCAACTCTCTGCTTGTACTCTGAGCTAGAAAATCAGCTGCTGCAGTCTGCCCTGATTGTATGCCAAGAGGCAGAGGTCCAGGACCTGACAGGGCTCCATCTTGAATTTCTGTCCAACGTCCTGGGAGACACAGTCAGGCATTCACCTCCCAGTCCTGTTCCAGACTTCGCCGCATTTCATTAAGCACTGAGCAAAGGAAGCCTGTTGCTTCCATCCAGCGCTGCTGCACAGCTTTTAAATCTGAATCATCAGCTTGACTTGCGTGAGGCTCCCAGGTCTGAGCTGCCATGGGCAGTAGCATGTGCTGGCTGATTCTGAAAACACAGACTGCAGAACCTGTTGCCATACACATGGCCCCGTGCAGCCAGCGTGGGTCTCCGAGGAAAAGCGGCAGGCAGGCCTCAGGGCTCCAGGGCCTTACCTGACAGAAGCACATCATTGGACACGTCTCCTTTGTCTCCCTTCTCCCCCTTCTGCCCGGGCGGGCCCTCGTTCCCAGTGGAGCCCAGTTCACCGAGGTCTCCCTTCTCTCCCTTTTCCCCGGGATTTCCTGTGGCTCCAGGTGGCCCTGAAGAGGGGAGGAAATGATATATTAGTCCTGTTGTGCAAGGGATTCTGAACAACACTTCGCGATCTTTGTAAGTCCCACTGAAGGGGGCGAGGAAGCAGCTTTACAAACACACACAAAACCTCGTTAGGGCAGCAGGGGGCGCAGCTCCATAAAAGAATCCCCTCTGCAGGTGGGTAGAGAAGAAGGCGGTGGAAGGAGTGAGTCCCCAGAGGGATGGTGGCCAAGCTGGTCATAGTGGAAAGAGGGTAGGGGTCCTGATTAGAGGCCTGGCACTGTCCCCACCAAGGCTGACGGGGTCACTGGGCAGAGCTTGTTTGGTGCTATTGCAGTCCGTGTTATTCACGTGACTTAAGTCACTCCCTACCACCTGTCTATCGAGATCGGCTGTGCAGTTACCCTTCCAGGAACTTTATTAATGATGTCGAGAGTGAGGCACATGGCAGGTAAAGCCAATACTGCCAAGGGATTTCCTCTCAGAGGGCCTCCCTCAGGCCGTCCAAAGAGACACTTTCAATCCCAAGAGCAGTATGGGAAAGGCTGCCCATCAGTAGTGATGGCGGTGGTGTTGACAAGCGTAATAGGGGAACATTCCGGCTGCTATTTGGGAGGCGGGACTCCCTAAGCAATTGCTAATCACTTACACACGGCTGGAAACCAGGCGAACTCTAGGTAATAGCTCGTCTCTGCTCCGGGCCAAGGGGGGCACAGTGGCACAGGGCCCCTCCCAACTCACTGCCTGGAAGTGGGTCCTGGCAACACAGAGAGGGAGAACCCACACCGAGATGAGGAGCCAGAACTTTGGGTTTGCCTGCCAATCCACAGGTGGCTAGAATAAGATAGCAGAGAGAGCGGTGTAGGAATCCCTAGATATCAGCAGAGGGCGCCCTTGGGTCAGAGTTTTAATAGTTAAGGCAAGTGGCAGAAAAGGCATCGGGTAAAATTCAAACAAAAACTCGTCAGAAGACTAGCAATAGAGGGAAACTTACTCAGTCTCAAAGGGAATCCAGAAAAAAATCCTCAGCTGGGGCCAGCGCTGGGGTGCACTGGGTTAAGCCGCTGCTTGCCACAGCAGCACCCCATGCAGAGTGCTAACTGGAGCTGGCTTCATTCTCTCTCTCTGCAACTCTTTCACATAAATACATCATATTTTTAAAATATGTCTCTTTCTGTTTCCCCTCTCTGTCACTCTACCTTCCAAATAAATGTATATATATATATTTAAAACTCTGCAGCTAACCTATTTAATGGTGAAGGACTAAATATCTAACATTGAAAACAACATAAAGATAATCCATTTTCTTTTTACATTTTAAAAACATCTAAAAATATTTATTTATTTCAAAAAGTTAAAGAGAGAGAAAGAGACAGTGAGAGAGAGAGAGAGAGAGAGAGACTCCATTTGCTAGTTCACCCCCCAGATAGCTGTAATGGTAGTGCTGGGCCATGCAGAAGCCAGGAGCCAAGAGCTTTACTTGGGTCTCCCATGTGGGTGACAGGACCCAAACATTCCCATGAGCAGGGAGTTGGACTGAAAGAGGAGTAGTCAGGACCCAAACGGGAACAATCATGGGATGCAGTATAACAGGCAGTGGCTTTGCCCACTATGCCACATACTGGCTCCAAGATAGCTTACTTTTCTCAGCTTTATTTAACACTCTACTGGAGGTCCTAGTTAGGAAAATAAAATGAGGAAAAAGAATGACAAGGCATACAGATTGGAAAGGATGATGTCAAAACAGAGAAAAACCAGAGGCAAATGTTGGGGTTCAGAAGATGACACACCAAAGTAGGACCCTTTTTGGCATGCCAAGCATTGAACCTAAGCAAAAGCATGTGCTGCGTCAGCCCACCTAGGCACAGGCAGGAGGCATGTGGAATCCCCTGCATGAAGGTCGGACAACCTCCAGCCCCGCCCTGAAATCTCACTAGCTGGGGGAAGTCCAGGAATGCAGCCAGATCATGTCTGGTCTGGGAAATCACTCAGCTTCCAGGGAACCTCTTTTTTTTTTTTTTAAGATTTATTTATTTTTATCAGAAAGGCAGATTTCCCAAGAAAAGGAGATACAGAGAAGAAGATCTTTTATCTGCTGGTTCATTCCCCAATTGGCCACAATGGCTGGAGCTGAGCTGATCTGAAGTCAAGAGCCAGGAGATTTCTCCGGGTCTCCCACACAGGTGCAGGGTCCCAAGGCTTTGGACCATGCTCTGCTGCTTTCCCAGGCCACAAGCAGGAAGCTGGTAGGGAAGTGGAGCAGTTGGGACACAAATCAGCGCTTTTTTGGGATCCCAGCACTTGGAAGTGGAGGGTTAGCTAGTCGAGCCATCACACTGGCCCCAGGGGGAATTTTTCTATACACTGAGTGCTGTCTGTCTTTTAGACAGGCTCTCCCAACCAGTCCCACTTACCATCCCTCAAATGAAACTCCACTTTCTGTTCTCCTCTCCCCTATGGGGAATGGGCCAATGAGATGGTGGCCTGCGGCTGACTATGCCCCCAGCTTTTCTTGTGCTGTGGTTCCTCCCTGCTACATGGGAATCTGTCTGCATGCCTTTTGTCCTTTTTAATTCATCACCAGGGAACCCACACAGGGCAGAGGAGGAAACTCCCCTTTGCCTTTGCTCATATCTTTGTGACCCTCAAACTCCACCATCAAGAAGACTTCAGACCCACCGCCTTCTCTGCCCTGCCGCTCCCCTGCCCCTTCTCCTGATTTCTGGCTAAACAACTGCCCAAGTGTCCTCTTCTTATGTCCCATCAACCTGGCCAATCCCTGTTCTAGAACTGCATCCTTCTGGTATTGCAAATGTCTCCCCTTTAGGTTTAACATCCAATCCCACACATCCCACTGCTCCCACCCCTGCCATGCTTGGCTCTGCACCAGCCCCTGCAGCCACAGGGAGGTCATTTTGCCACAACACAGCCCAGTTCATGCTGCAGTCTGTGAGGAACAGGGCTTGGTCATTGTCTGATACTAGATTATTCCCTTTAAAGGATGTGACACTCTCAGCCTTTCAGTTGCCCCAGAGGGGTGATAAATATCAACAAGTGTCTACTTTTCTGTTGCTAGGGAGCAGCCATGGATGGTCTCAACTAAAGGCACCTGGAGAACTCACACTCCCAATGGCTGTTGGGAAGCATCGTGGACAGAGACATGGCTTTCAGCCAGTTACACAAAACCTGTGTGTGAAAACCAGGATGTCCAGTTACAGTGAGGGTCGGAGCCCCCCAGGCCCTCACCTCTGCCAGCTGCAAACCTCAGATAAGCGCCACCTCTCAGGGATGTCCCAGCTCAGAACACATCCCTCACCGTGCCATCAGAAACCCATGGCTCTAGGCCATCCTTGCCCAGGTCACCAGGACATCCAGCACTTTGGCATGTGGTCTGGAGGCGACTGTGGTATTCAGCTAGCCCAGTGCATCAGGCAAGATTGACACCCACTTGCGGTTTCACATGACCCAGACTTAGCAGTGCTCAGGGCAGCGGCAGTGTCTGCTGGCAGCAGCAGGTTCATGTTGGTTAGACACTTGGTCACCAAACGCCTTCCTGCTCCATCAGCCCAGCTGTCCTTCCTTTTGTTTGTTCCTTCCTCCTGTCTGTTTCATTTTCTCTGGAGAGCTGTATGTGAATTTGGGAGGCAGCTCTCTGCTGGGGCAAGTGCTGAAGCCAGCACTTTGCCTGAGGGTGTATTTCTGACCTTGAGTTGGAGATGGAAGGGCAGGTATCTATTACGATTAGGGGGCTTTCATTAAGAAAGGATGGGGGCAGTTTGTCCCCCATATAGTTTGCCCTTGGCCTCTTGTGACCTATCATATACAACAAAGCCGCCCCTCAGTTTTGCTAGCCAATCATGCCTGGTGTGTGCTGTCTGTTACCCTCTTCCATGCTGCTCCACTCCTGGAAGGTCCGGGATGCTGGCCATGCACAGCGAGCCTGCCGGGGCTGGTCCCTGCCACAAGCTGGCACATCTCACAAGGGGGGAGAAGCCAGGTTCCGCTAACGGGCTCAAATGCTGCAAGTGGCTGCCTGCTGCGTTTCTCCCTGGTTCACCCACGCAAAACAGGCAGCACCGGAGTGTGGGGCCACGTGCCTCCAGCTGGGACTGACTCGGCGGCTTCACCACGGGCGGGGGCTGAGGGGGGATGCTCTATTTTTGGCAGTGCCATCTGTCTGCCACAGACGAAGATGGGAGAAAGGGGGTGGTGGTATCACACAAAACCCAGCCCTGAGACACGTGGAAGGAGGGGGCGGTTTGTTTCTACTTTGTATGAGGATTTGGCTTTTGCAGAAGACACGCCAGTCTTAGCTCTCAGAGGAGAAGAGGGAATGGAAAGCTAGCAAATGTTTGATTCCGCAGAATGTGCCAGTTGTACAACTGAGAACAGGAAGTCTCCTTCACTTCCAAGTCCAAGTCGATGGTTTCACATGAGGGTGGAACATTTCCCCTGATGCTTCTGATCCAAAGTCAAGTTTCTCCTGCCCGGGTTTTGGAAACAACCACTACAATAATAATAGCTAAACAAAGCACTAAGCATAGGCCAGGCCTGGATATAAGCAAGCACTTAATTTGCGTTACCATAGTCCACCTTCCTCACCACACTGTGAGGAAGGGACCAGTTGTCCCTATCTCACAAAGGAAACTATGACACAGAGGGGCCGAGCCGCTTTCCCAAGGTGCACATGTGGAAGGTAGAAGGCCCAGGACCCAAGACATTCCCCCGGGCTCCCTGCTATCCCACCATCATTCTTAGCATTTCCAGAGTCAGAAAGCCAGACCAATCCTCAGACATTTCAGCTTCCCAGACGCCCCTCAGAGGCTGTAGCTTTCCACCTGCAGCGCCGCCGGGCTTACTGCCCTCTCAGAAGGCCGCATTGGCTCCAGTTGTCTCCTGTGTATGTGCTGCAGAAACCCCTGGCACTGCTTTGCAGGCCTCAGGCCCCCTTCCACCTCACCTGGGAGCCCAGCAGGGCTAGGGGAACCTTACAGCCCTGAGCAGGGGCCCAAGAGGAGAGACCTGTAATGCTGACAAAGATCTGACCCTGTCGCTGGTTGTGCTCAGGTTCAAGGCCTGTCTCTGCTGTGCCCCGCACCTGATCCCTTCTCTCACCCCTCCCAGGGCCCAGAAGTGCATGGAGAGGAGAAGCATGGTCCTGGGGCCTTGGGCCACCAACAGGGTGGCTTTTGCTCTGGGGTTTGAGTGGGCCCAGGGTTGCTCATGCACTCAGTATGCTCTTTCCACAGGGCCTGATTCATTCAGATAACCTTTGTCTCAGATGGAAGAAAAACTCGAAGATGCCATACATTTAGTTATGAGGACCATGAAGTGGGGCAGAGACAGAGGGGAGCTAATCAGCTCACAGGTGAGGTATAGCCCCATAAGAAGGCTGGTAATGCTGGAAGCTTGACTCAGACCCCACCACAGCTGGGGAGCAGCCAGGGAGCGGCCGTGGAGCAGCTGGGGGTTGTGCCCATCAGTATCCTGGCTGTTCCACTTCCAATCCAGCTCCCTGCTAATGTTCCTGAAACAGCAGCATAAGATGGTCCATGTCCTTAGGCCCCTGTACTCATGTGGGAGACCCACATGGAGTTCCAGAATCTTGACTTTGGCCCAGCCCCAGATATTGTGGCCATTGGAGTGAACCATGCAATGGAAGATCTCTTTCTTTGGTTTCCTCCCCTCTCTCTGTAACTCTGTCTTTCAGATAAAGAAATAAATCCTTAAAAATGAAACCATGGTTTCTTCTGAATGGGTCCCGTCTCTCAAAGCTCCTTTCCCCTTCCTCTGTGGGCAAGGTGGCTTCAAGGTGAACAGCGTGGGTCTTCCTTGCCCAAGCCCTCAGCCCAATGAGATTTCAAAAATCCAGAGTTTGGCTTTGACCTCTTCATACATTTAGTGTGAGGGCTGTTCTCCTGTGGGACCCTTGGTGACTCAAATTCTACACCAGCCTAGTGAGGCATCAGAGATCAAGGCTGCACACCACAGGAAACCATCCTCAGTGGAGTGGCTGCCTGTCAGGTCCAGTTCCTACATCTGGGTTCTCCTGGGGACTGAGCATCCTGCTTAAGCCTTGCCAACACCCAGAACCCTCACCTTTGCCATGCCCTGTGCCAGCCTCACCCTTCCTTCCTCCAGCCTCTGAGTCCAGCTGTGGGATTCCTCTCACCCCAGAGTCAGGGCTCAGCTCTGCTCCACATTCCCCACCTTCCAACACACACACTTTGTTCTGAGCATTGAGCCATGGTCCTTAAGCCATACAGGGTGGCCCAAGGGCACCTTGCTGTCTCTGCTCTCAACTCCTCTGCCTTCACCTCTCTCCCTACCTGGCTGCCCCCAGCCTCTTGCCTGCTGCACAACCTCCCTGGGCACTCAGTACCCACACACTGGGCCTGCCACCCTCTTCGCAGGGGCCCCACTGCACCTCCCCCAGGTAGTTCTTCCAGGGAGAGCTTCCTGGCCTCCCAATCTGAAAGTACCACCTCCAGTCCTCACTCACATCTTGGGGTCCCCTCCTGGACTCTCCTCTCCTCTCTCTTCTACCTCTCTGGCTGCTTCACTGGGTAGCCCTCTCAACTAGAAGGAAAGCTCCAGACAGGTGTAGAAGGTGGGTGGGGAATGACGCTCCCCGAGAAGCCCACTGAGCAAGGTGATCTGAAAGCAACCAAAGGCCTCAGAGCCAGAAGCTGGGAAGCAGGCATCTCCAAATCCCTGGGAGCGCAGGCACTTCTGGACACCCAAGTGCAGGCAGTGGCTTCGGGTAATTTCCTAAACTGCAGAGGCTCTGGGCAATTTCTTAACCCGCATGAAGATTAGGCTGCCAAAGGGAATGCCTGGCTTCCCCTCCTCACCTCCTGGAAAATGAACCAAGGAATGTGGCCCAGCTGGAGGGACTCCCTCCAGGGTTACACTCAGTGGCCCTCCTGGGGGCTCACTCAGATTCCAAGGGCTATCTTTGCAAGCGCCAATCTGTCTCCTCAGGTATTTGCCCAACCCAGTCATCAGGCAGGATTCCTTCACACAACCTTCCTAGGCCCTTCTCTTCCTCTCCTAGGGAAAAGTCAGATGAGGGGTGACCATTCTGGGGGTGGGATCATACTCTTTGTCCTGTGAGGGCATTGACTCCTACTCCTATCAAGGCAGGGGTTAGAGAGCCCTGTAGTTCCAGGTTCTCCAGGGCATAGAAGGCAGAAATGCCTGTTCCATTAATTAACACATACTCTCTTATCTGTCCCTGCCAGGTTGCTGATTACATACTTAGCACATGCTCTCAGGGTCTGGATCTGTTCCAGATATTTCTGGGAAAAAACAACAACATCAACAACGACAAAAACACCGCAGCCCTTTCCTCCATGCTCCATGCCCAGTTCTCCCATGATGCCCTGGCTCTAAGTTGGACCCTGTCATCCTCACTACAGACCCCAGACTAGCTCACATTTAGGGGTCTTGCCCGAAGGAGGAGCGAAAGCCCTACACACTGCCCTAAGTGGGCTATGCGGACGCTCACTAACACTGCAGTGATCATCCTACATGCGGCAACCCACTCCTCAGTGTTTCTGTTGGTCCCCAGGGATTGAGTTAATGCAATGTGTGCCTGTTCCCACAGGGCTGCCCCAGGTAGGCCTTGCAGAGTGGCAGAGGGGCTCCTGAGTGCTCTCTCGCCTGCGGATCCTCATCCCCCACAGGCATGAGCAATGTGCTTTCTGGGAAATGTGTTCAGTCAGGGTCCTTCTGTGTATGCCTCACCCTGGGATGGGTGCTCAGCATCCTTCAGACCCCACCCCACCCTGAGCTCAGCCTCCTGCCAGGCATATCTAACACCTTGTACAGTGCCCACTCAGAGCAGAGTGGAGGAGGTCCCTTGGAGATGTCACATACAGCTCCCTGCCAGGGACTGGTGCTAGCCCTGGACTCTGCCTTCCTATTCAAACAGCAGGAGTTGTCTCTGCAACTGAGAGCACCCTACCCAGGAAAAACAGGAGCCACAGAACTTCATCTAAGCTAGGACTTGCAGGGTGGGAGGGAAAGAGAGCAACAGGGGCTGAGCTCTGAGAGGCCATGGGGTCAGCAGTGCAGGCTGCCACCCAGCACATTGGCACAGCCCAAGGCTGCCTGTGGTCCCAGCTCCTTCCATGGCCCCATCAGCCTGAGTGAGCAGAACTGAACATCGGTGCCCAGGGACACAGAGTTTTCAGTTTCACACAAACACTTGTCAGGCATGGACCCAGAAGCCTGCCTTTGGTGTCTCAGCACACCATGGCCCCAGGTAGGTCACGAGATGGAACAGCTCACCCTATTGTGCACAGCTTTAGTTCACCCCTGATGAAGCCACAGGGCTAAGGCACAAAGAAGACAATTAGAAGAGCGGTCAAAAAAATACCCATTTTCCCTCTTTTTCCATTGGCTCCTTTTTCTCCTTTTGGGCCCTGGGGACCAGGCTGTCCATCAGATCCATTGTGTCCTGGTAAGCCACTTACTCCTGGAGGGCCTGCAGCAAAAACATGGAAGAACATTTTCAACACATTTGGTGACATTGAGCTGGCACCCGTGCCTTTTCCACACCCTCCCTTCTCTGTCTGAAACAGTGGTAGGTGATGGGTACAGCAATGACAGGCTCTCAGATGAGAGGAGCAGAAAGGATATAACTGGGGTTGCCTCTGCAGCCCTCCCCTTATCCCCACCTCTGTCCCTACAGAGAAACCCTAAGGATCCAGCCACCTGAAGCCTCCCCTGAACTAAGGAGAGCCCACGGGATCTTACCTGGGGGGCCAGGAGGTCCTACAACAGAAGAAATGCAGAGGATAAATGACCACAACCACCAAAGGACGCCCTCCCCCTTCCAAATGTTCCACTCAACTGGTGACCTTAAGAAATCTGTCAGTCCCCAAGATGTTTAAAACCAATCTGGTCAAGACTCCTTTGCCAAGCAAACCATGTCTGCTTCAGATTCAGTCAGCAATCTCCCAAGTCATCAACTCAATCAGTGCTGACTCTGGTGGGTACAGGGGTGCCAGGACAGAGCAGGGCCACATGGGCCACCAAGGGGGCTTGCCACCAGCTGATGCTGGCTTGGCGAATCTGTGGCTGCACAAAGCAACCTGAGAAAATGGAGAGCTCAGATTCGATAACAAATATCTTCCTTGGTGGATAATTATCCAGGACTCTAAGAGGATGAGCTGAGCCATTTACACACAACTGTTTCACAAGTGATGAAGAGGGAAGATCTTTTCATAAATACCAGTCTTCAACTAGTCTGGAAATCAGCATTTATTAAGCACTTACTTTGTGCCCCGGAATCTATTAAGAAATCTTGGTCCCTGTGTCTGCTGTGCAACCAAGTCTACACAGAGAAGGTAGACCCTGACACCACAGCGCAATATGAGGAAGTCATGGAGAAGCGGGGAAGCCTGAGTGCTCAGCAGTGAAAGACTGCACCCCTAGGTGAGCCTTGAACTACAGCACTGAAGAAAGAGTGGGTCCCAGATGGCTGCAGGTAAGGAGTAAGCATCCCATGTAGGGCACCGACAGGAGCAAGAGCACTTAGGTGGGAACCTGTAGGATGCAGGGTGGGAGAAAGGAAGAGGATCAGCCAAGCCTAGCAGACAGTGATGGAGTGGAACAAGTCCATCGGTGTGGTCGCTGGGGGAAGCCCTTGAATGCCAGGCCTCACCCAAGAGGCAGTAGGGAGCTGTGGCAGATGGCTGTGCAGCGGGGAGCTTGTGGTGCTGGGGGTGATGTGACAGCAGTGTGGGCTGATGATCCTCTCTGTATCAGGTAGAACAAGAAGAGGGGGCTGGAGGAGGGATGGCTGCAGAGAAAATACCCAGAGTGTGTTTGGAGGTAAAGTCAGGGACAGGGTTGTGGACAGCCGGGGTGAGCACAGAGTTGTAGAGGAAGCTAGAAATTCAAGCAGTGTCTCAGCAGAGTGAGCAAGACTCCATGTCTGATGGGGTAGGAGGCTTCCAGATAACTGGGGCTCCAGACACTAGATGCCATTTTGGCAGATATGGGGACTCTAGAAGCTCACGTGTCTGAGGGGACGCAGTCCCATTGTGGGCACAAATCATCAGCTGGGAATCACATCTCCACTGTGGTCAGCGTACCTGCGGCTGCACGACTCACCACCAGATGGTGCACACGCACCGGACAGGGGTGGTGGAGCCTCTTCCCAGAGATCAGAAATCCCTGAATCGTCACTCCTTGACTGCACAGGAGGCAACCACAGATGTGCAGACGGCTAGGAGGACGACTGGACTGTAAGAGAAGCAGGCACGGACTATATAAATGGACTCCTATAGCGCTGGCATCCTATATGGGTGCCGGTTCAAGTCTTGGCTGTTCCAGGCCAGCTCCCTGCTAACACACCTGTGAAAGCAGTGGAAGAAGGGCCCAGTACTTGAGCCCCTGCATCCAGAGACAGAGTTCCTGGACCGTGGCTTTGTTCTAGCCCAGCCCTGGTTGTGTGGCCATCTGGGGGAGTGAACCAGCAGATGGAAGATATTTCTGTTTCTCCCTCTCTTTCTGTAATTCTCATTTCAAATAAATAAATGCATGAACAAAACGGAATGATAAATACATTGGCACAAAAATTTTTGAAATCCTTGTATATGAGGAGGTATCATATAAACTTTAAGAAAAAAAATCTGCATTTTCTCTTTTTGCATCAAAAGAAACATTTTAAAGGTTTCTTTTAAAGTTCTATTCATTTATTGAAAGGCAGAGTTGCAGAAAGGGAAAGGACAGAGGACTAAGGGGTTGAGGGAGGAAGGGAGAGAGAGAGAAAGAGGGAAACTTCCATTTGCTGGTTCACTTCCCAAATGGTTGCAACCGCCAGAGCTGGTCTAATCCAAAGCCAGAAGCCAGGAATTTCCTCTGGGTCTCCCATGTGCGTACACGGGCTCAAGGATTTGGCCCATTGTTTGCTGTTTTTCCAGGTGTATCAGCAGGGTGCTGGGTGAGAAATGGAGCACCAGGACTCAACTCTCATAAGGGATGTCAGCGTTGCAGTCAGTGGCTTTACCCACTGTGCCACAGTGCAGCCTCCTAAAATACACATCTTTTTTTTTTTTAAAGATTTATTTTTATTATTTTTCATTGGAAAGGCAGATATACAGAGAGGAGAGACAGAGAGGAAGATCTTCCATCCAATGATTCACTCCCCAAGTGAGCGCAACGGGCCGATACTATGCCGATCCAAAGCCAGGAGCCTCTTCCGGGTCTCCCACGCGGGTGCAGGGTCCCAAAGCCTTGGGCCGTCCTCGACTGCCTTCCCAGGCCACAGGCAGGGAGCTGGAAGGGAAGTGGGGCTGCCGGGATTAGAACCGGCGCCCATATGGGATCCCGGGCGTGCAAGGTGAGGACCTTTAACCACTTGCGCCACCGCGCCGGGCCCAATACACATCTTTTAATTCTGTCTTTCCACAGGTTTTATGAAGCCCCATTACACAGAGCCAGCTTCAGGAGTCCCTAGGAGAGCTCACCGTATCTTGCAGCAGAACTTATGGTGAGAGCTGCAGGCTGCACTGGTATTTGGGACCCATTCACTCCTTTAAGGGTCTCATTGGAGTGAAGCAATCAGGTGACACTTCCTCAAAGAGCTCCCTTTGCTACAATTCCAAAGCTACAATTCCTGATGAATAGGACATTGGTAAAATGCAGATGCCTGGGCCTGCCTTGGAGATCCTAAAATGGTTTGGGTTTAAATGAGGCCCAGGAACCTGTATTTTTTTTTTTATCAAGCATCACAGGTGACTGGAATGATCATGATCCCTTCTCCCCACACCCCCTTAGAGGATGTGAACATTTTCTGAGAAAAGAATTAGATACCATTACTGGATTTTTCAAGGGCTTCTGGCCAATGGGACCTGTCCTGGGGGAATGCCACTGTAGGCCTGCAAAAGCAGCAGGTGCCATCTTTTGGGACTCTCTGTTCTCCACAGATGACCATGGAACTAGGATGCCTAGAATCTGGTGCAAAGATGGGGACTTCTTGGACCCCTTGGTCCTGGAGGAAGCAGAACTATCCAGAAGCATCACCCAATCTTCACTATACTGAGTGGGATGAGAGCTAAGCCTCTGCTCTTAGGCCACCAGGAATTTGCAACCTGATTCGCACCAACCAACCGCAACAAATACACTCTTCTTTCAATCATTTTTGATAGCCCCTCCTTACTTCTCCCCGCCCCCACCACCACAAATAAGCTCTAGTGGGCTTTTGCTGCTAGCAGACACAAGAATGTTCATTCTGACAGGAAAAACTGCTGTTGCAGTTGTGAGGAGTAAGCAATGTGAAGAGTATGTTTGAACTCAGCGGCCTCAAGAGAGGGTGCTAGCCAGTGGAAACCACAGCAGGGCCCTGGTCCCTGGGCTCTTGCCACAGAGGCCATTCAGAATCTAGGGGAAGAGATACACCTCTACCTTTCCCCCGCCCTCTCCCCGCACCACCCACAGCCTCCCAAGGATGCTGTCCAAATAGGTGTTGTCTGAACCAGGCACCTGCACTGACCATGGAGGAAGAGGCTAAGCATTTCCCAAGGTCTTGCTCAAGGGGAAGAAATGAGGACGTCACACCAAGCCCAAGCAGCCACTCGGGAGAGTGAGGCCTGGCTCTGTGGCTTCAGAACGAGCTGGGGAAAAATGCAGCTCCATAATTCCAGGTCTGGCAGGCCTGGGGGTCATGTCCCGACTGTCCCCCTCCTCCTCCCTAGTGAGGACGCACGCAGCTCCAGGACTGGACAGGGGCTCGGGCCCATGCGGATGTGGTCCCACCTTCCCCATGAGAGCTGGCATGCTTGGCTCTTCCTAAAGCATGACCTGAGCAGCTCCCGTGCCTGCAGGCAGATTCTCCAGCTAGTTTTGGGTCTGCCTCCACCTATGAACACACAGTGAACAACAGTACCAGCGATCTGGGTACGGTCTGTTCACTAGTGCCGCACTGGCTGCAGCTTTGCAGCCTCGGTGCTTTGTCTCCCATGCACCGTGTCCTGCCACCAGCTACCTGGCCGGGCTCAGGTCCTGACTTGGAAAGGCATCCTTCCTGGACATGTCCCTAGTGAAGTGCAGCCTCAGTTCAGTCCCATTTAGTGGGTGCTTTTCAATTCTGGACCATGAACATGGGAGCCTTAAAAAATGAGAGTAGGGATGGCAGACAGGCTTTGTTTTAGGTGCCAATTCAAACAAATAGTCATGGTTTTCGGGAACACCGGAGAGTGACATGCAGCCAAGCTCAGCAGCGCCTGGGATCCATTATTGAAGCTGGGCTGGGTGGAGCTATGGAAGTGGTGACAAATGACATGGATGGGTGAGGAGCCCCTGGCCAGGAGGATCTGAAGTGCCTTAGTCCCGCCATGCAATTCAGCTATGCGATGGTTCAAATATTTTCCAACAAGTCTTCATGCAGATACCATTGTAAGAGCAAACCATGAGCCTGCCATCTTTGAGCCACCTGTTTTTCTGGAAGATCTGCTTCTGAGGCTCCCAAGAAAAATGAGCCTGGAGTAAGTGAGATACATTCAGAGGAGCAAACGAGGGTACTTAGAAAGTGCTATGAATGGCAGTGCAGTGGCATAGTAGGCTAGTCCTCTACACCAACAGTCCATATAGACACTAGTTCATGTCCTGGTTGTTCTACTTCCAATCTAGCTCCTTACTTATAGTCTGGAAAAATAGCAAAGATTACCCAGTGCCTTGGGACCCTGCACCCATCTGGAAGAAGCTTCTGGCTCCTGGCTTTAGACTGGCTCAGTTCCAGCTTTTGTGACCATTTGGGGAGTGGACCAGTGAATGGTCTCTGTGTCTCTCCTTCTCTCTGTAAATCTGCTCTTCTAATACAAATAAATAGATCTTAAATTTTTTCACAATAAAAAGAAACAAATAGAAGCAGAAGTCTGCTTGGGTCAAGAATTTTTGAAAACTATGCACTTGAGGATCTTGGAAAATTCATGGAAAAAAAGTGTTAAGAAAATTGCATGTTTTCAAAAGACTTTCACACAAAATTAAACTTATCTTGTTTTTTTCTCATTAAGTTTTACAAATAAAGCATGCAGTTTGACAGACTCTAGCCAAAACAGTTGTCTTGTCCAGCCAGTGGATTGCCCTGCCTACTCGTCTGAGAGGTTACAGACAACGCAAAGCCACGTAGCATGGGCAAGTCTTGCTGTAGGGCAGCAAGCCCAGAGCATCCTCCTGGTCTCAGCCATGACCTTTTGCCCCCTGCTTAAGCTGCCCAAATCAGTCCTGGGTCCTACCACTTGCTCTCCTGTGCCCAGCACCCTGCTTCCAGTGCAGGTGGTATGTTCCATCCACGGGCACCTTCTCACTCTGTAACTTGTACTTTTCACACCTAAGTTTTAATCAAAAAGCTGTTTGTGAAAAAAAAAAGACCCAATTTCAAGCTGACATGAAGGGAGAGAGTGCTGCCTTTTGAAAAGCATTTGGAGGTGCCAAAGAATAACCCATTCAGCCCACTTCCAGGATGGAGGTGACCCCCGCTGCCCATCGCTCTCCCCTAAGTGGTCTTGGTGGCTCTCTCCTTGCATTCACAGCGCTGCCTGGCTCTCAGGGCTGTCACTATAAAAATCAGAAAGGAGGAGGCTTTTCCTGGGCCTCTCAGAAAGGCTTTTGTGCCTGTAATTCCATCCATTTTAGCATTTCTCTAGCACTCATCACTGTCACATGCGGGAACTCTCAAAACGGACTTCCAGAGATGGAAGGAAGGTGCTTTAGCCTCAAGAGTTTCAGAATAAAGGACCGGGCTCTTTTGAAGATATTGAATTTTCTCTGAGGACCCAAGTGTGACTTGAGTAATTCAATTAGCAATTCCCAAGGAGACATGGGATCAGTTTTCCCTCCCCAGGGTCAAAATAAAACCAGTGGGGTCTGGGCTTCCTGAGAGAAGCTTCTCCCTGCAGCTGGTCACAGAAACCCCTGGTTTATTCATACAACACACTTGCATTGCACTCCTAAGGCATGGCGCATTGAGCGAGGAACTGTGAAAATAGAGCACAGAGAGGCAACGCTTCCTGCCATGGCACACACACCCTGGATGGGGAGGCTCCTCCCAGCCAAGGGTCCCCAGAAACTCTCCAGACCCTTCGGCCACGGATCAACGAGGTTCCGCCAATGTTTTCCGCACTCTTAAGGCTCCTGTTTTCTCAAGTGCAAGGCAGCTCTGGGTTTACGCCACAGCAGCCATAGCTGACTGTTCCAGGAGAAAAGAATGTTCTCATTTCCTCAGATTGCTACACCTGCTTTAGAGAGGCAGGCAAGGCTGTGCCTGAATTCAGTCGACTGGGCCTGCTCAGTGTCTTCTTTGGCTGAGGCAGCAATGGGGAGAGGAGGAAGCAGTGGCAAGGGGTGACAGATCTGGGGGCTGGGCTTTCCTCGCCCTCACTTCAGGAAGCAAGAAGCAAATAGCGCTCCTCTCTCATGAGAGGCACAACTCATCAGGTCTAGGAAATCACTTCTTCTCTTTCCCCAGGCACCACCATCAGCCTTCCTCATACCTTCTGACTAGTCCATTTCCTTAATACATGACATGTAGGGAGTCAGCGTGGTCAACCTCTAGGCCTACTCAGCAGGCAGAGAGGTTCAAGCTGTATGTTTAAAGGTGCTTCAAAAAGGCCCATGAAAAAGGCAATTAAGAAGTTAAGTTTGGGGTCAGTGTTGTGGCACAAAGGGTTACACTGTCACATTGCTGGTACTCCATCTTGCAGGACTGCTTAGAGTCCCGGCTCCTGTGTTTCTGACCCAGCTGCCTGATAATGCACCTGGGAAAGCAATGGAAGACAGCTCAAGTGCTTGGGGCCCTGCAACCCACATGGGAGACCAAGATGGAATTCCTGGCTCCTGGCTTTGTCCTGACCCAGCCCTAGCTGCTGTGGCCATCTGGGGAATGAGCCAGCAGAAGGAAGATCTCTGTGTCTTTGATCACCTTTCAAATACAAACAATCATACATAAATGCATATATATTTTTCAGATTTATTTATTTTTATTGGAAAGTCAGATATACAGAGAGGAGGAGCTACAGAGAGAAACATCTTTCGTCCACCGATTCACTCCCCAAGCAGCTGCAATGGCCAGAGCTGTGCTGATCAAAAGCCAACAGCCAGCAGCCAGGAGCTTCTTCTGGGTCTCCCATGTGGGTTCAGGGTCCCAAAGCTTTGGGTCATCCTACACTGCCTTCCCAGGCTACAAGTAGGGAGCTGGCTGAAAAGGGGGGCCACTGGGACACAAACTGGTGCCCATATGGAATACCAGTATATGCAAGGTGAGGACTTTAGCCACTAGGTTACTGTGCTGGGTCCTACATAGATTTTTTAAAAAGGTAAGTTTATTTTAGTGCAAATTTTTTAAAAATTCCATACATTTTTTTCATAAAACACATTTTAATGGGACTTTTTCAAGCTCTTTCACATGCATGAATTTCAAATTTTTATGCATATTTTTATGCATAATTTTATGCATATTTTTAAGCATATTTTTCCAATTCTATCTTTCATACCCTTTTTGAAGACCCTTCTCCTATGCTATAGGGAAATAATTCTTATGAAAGAACTCTACCACTTAGCAAAGCCCCCTTCTTCTTTCTTTTTCCTATTTAAAGGCCATGGGGTTAAGGAAAAAACATCTGGTTCAAGATCCTCACACTGCTAATCACCCAGGCCCTTGTTATTTCCATGGCCAGATTACTATGCGAATCCTGCACACACTGTTTGTCCTAATTATATTACAGTTGTTTCCAAGTATGTTAAAGACATTTGGTTTTATATATGTATAGCACATGGATCCCTGAGTGCTCCTCATCCACACACACGCTTGCTGCGGGCTAGCCCTGGGAGCGGCCGGCCAACCCACCTGTGAGGCAGATGCCTTTGGTGCTGTTGCATAGGTCCACCATCACTCGCACCTGCAGGTAAGAGAGGACAGTGAACAGCAGACAGTGAGCAGTGGGTCCCGGACACTAAGGAAGTAGTCACAGCTCCCAGTGCATCTTTGATTCAGATAATGAGCACGCAGTCACTAACATCCCACCACGTGACTGACTTCAGAGGACTCTGCATCACCGAAGTCTGGGGAAAATGGCTTGAAGATCTAAGGATGTCTGATACCAGCAGCTGATACAACAGTGTCATCAATGGCACTGTCTTGATTTTCATCACCTTGTGAGGACACAGAGGGTGGTGAGAGGATCACCAAGTTCAGTTTTTACCACTACAGTGAGCCAGCTTCCCAGTGTTTGAGGGCTTCAATCTGCTGGTCTCAGTAAAGAGGCAGAGGTGAGCCTAGTGGCTCGGAGCAAGTACTTACTAACATCAAATCCAATCACACCAAATCCACAGGCCAAAACTGAAAGATCTCTTAAAACAAACAGAGTATAAAGCAGAAGTACACACACAAATGCTTCTAGAAGCCTCTTTCTTGATGCCCTTTCTCTGTGCTTTATTTTCTAGAATGTATCTAGAATGTTCTATCTAGAGATAGAACAAAGGGAACTCATGTGAGGAGGAACTGAGAGCCAGGGTAGTGGGGGTTGTACTAAGCGTGATGTGCCCTTTGTCCTATTTAATATTTTCACTGATTATACTTTCAATCAAAAGCGGTTAAAAAGAATGTGTTTTGATTTGATGAGAAAACAATTCATTTCCTACTTTGGTTCATTTAATTTGCCAGGCGATTCACAGGAAAATTCTTTTTTGTTAAGAATCAGCAAGCACCAACTGGTTGCTTTGTGAAATATATGTCACACATATTAAAAATGCACAAAATGTGTAAAAACAATTGAAAGATGAGTAGCACAGAAACATGTACAGTTGGCCCTTTATGTCAGGTACCACATCTACCACATTCAACCAACCAGGGAAGGGAAACAGCCAAGAAAAATGCATGGATACTAAACATGTACAGTCCCCCTAACCCGCGTCATCATTCCTTAAACAAAACAGCTAACAATTGTTTACATAGACTCATATTGTATTAAATAGCATGAGTCATTTCAAATGATGTAAAATACATGAGAAGATATGCATAGGTCATCGCACAAACACTACATTGTTTTCATAAAGGACCTGTGCTTCCTCAGATACTGTTAGGCTGAGGAGAAAACTAACAGTAAGGCCCTGCAGACAGGGAGAGACTGCATAGCAGCTGAGCCGGAGAGCTGGGAACCCTCCCAGCACAGTGCTCCAGCCCACCCTGACAGTCTTCTGGGCAGTGTCTCCTCCCTTTCACTCAGATAAGAATCCAGTGGCTTGGCAGGGGTGACAGCACGGACTCCAGGGCATGCAGCTGGGCTCCTGGACTCCCAGGTCGGCTGCACTTTCGGTTTCATCTTTGATGATCATCTTAACGCCACTAAGCAGGAAGCACTTTGGACTCATTGTTTTTAGGCATCTTCATAAATGAATGTAATCAGTAACACTAAGGCCAAAATTTATTGTCTTAAAAAAAACCCATCTAATTGCCCATTGAGAAGATCAGAAAAGACTCCACAATGCTTCATCTGTTGCCTGGGGGATCATAGCGGAAAGGACCAGTTTGAAGCAGCAGCCGCATCAATAGGGAAAATGAGCCTTTCTCTTGGGTACTCCTCACTGACCCCGGAAGGCACAGCTAAGAGCTAGGAAGAGAGAGTTTCCACTTCCTGACCTTCTGGCTTCCTTTGTGCACTAAACATTGGTTTAGATATTTCCCAGTAGATGGGAATATATTTCCTCAACAAACTAGGACTATATCAGATTGAAGGGAAATACAGTAAGAAAAGGGTGTGGCATGAAGAATCTGCTTTTTTCTGATCATTAAAATAAAAAAAATTTTGATGAACAGAGGGAGAGACAAAGAGACAGGTTTTCCTTCTGGCTCACTCCCCAAATGGCCACAGCATCCAGGGCTCAGCTAGGCTGGAGCCAGGAGCCTGGAATTCCATCTGTGTCTCCCACATGGGTGATGGGGGTTCAAAACTTTAGGTCATCTTTTGCTTTTCATTGCATTGACAGGGAGCTAGAATGCAAGTGGAGTAGCCAGGCCTAGAACTTCTCCACTGGAGTGAAACAGATCAAGAAGGAAAGTACAATAGACTGTCAGGAAGAACCTGCCTGGAGATGGGTGACAACAAATTGCTCACCTGGGCTTATGATACCAGAATCTCACAGTACTGCAAAGACACATGGGAGGCACGGGAAAAGGTCTGGGGCAGCCACTCCAGCCTGGAAATATAGGTTTTGTGGGAACAACAGCTGTTGCCCTGCATATAAAGCAAAGAACAGTGACCTCAAGAGCTCAGGCCTAATGCAGCCATGGCCAGGAGCATTGCCTCCTAGGCTATGAACTCATCTTAAAAAGGAAGCAATACAGCCCATCAGGTTCACCATCAGATGGGAAGATCAATGGGATGGAGACACATCACCTTGGGTGGGGACTTTTCTTTCAGCATTTGTAATGCTGGGGCTCAGAAAACAAAACCCTGAAGTGAGGACCTCAGAAGCAAAGTCCTTGTTGACTTTCTCCCACTCTCCTCTTTCCTGACCCCCCCCCTTTTTTTTTTTTAATTGGAAAGGCAGATATACAGAGAGGAGAGACAGAGAGGAAGATCTTCTGTCCGATGATTCACTCCCCAAGTGAGCCGCAACGGCCAATGCTATGCCGATCCGAAGCCAGGAGCCTCTTCCGGGTCTCCCACGCGGGTGCAGGGTCCCAAAGCCTTGGGCTGTCCTCGACTGCTTTCCCAGGCCACAGGCAGGGAGCTGGATGGGAAGTGGAACTGCTGGGATTAGAACCGGCGCCCATATGGGATCCTGGGCGTGCAAGGTGAGGACCTTAACCACTTGCGCCACCGCGCCGGGCCCACCTGACCTCTTTTTAATGCACCTACATCCCAAGGCAAGACACAGGAACTAGAATTCCTCTTTCTCAACGTTGGTCATGGGAGCCAGAACTTTTTTTCTTATCCCCAAAGTGAGCCATAAAGTCTAAACATTGTGTTCTGATATTCCCTTCCTTTTTCTCACATGGTTGGCCAAAAAGAAATTCCCTGATCTTCCTTGTTTGACTGTAGCTCTTATGACACTGATTTCAGAAGGAATCCTTTTCCCTACCCAGGAGAAAGGAATGTTGCACGGAGGCCCAGGAGATTCTCAACAGGCTGGCCTTACTGGGTTGTCCTACTTGGTCTTCTAGCATTAATCAGACACTTTTGTTCAATCTTATTTCTATATGGTTGCCCATTCTTCACTGTGACTATCCATAAAAATGGGTATTTCATCAAGGGGTCATAGGTCTTCACTCTGAAGGTGCAGATCCTTTATGACTTGCCTTCTGGCATAGAATTGTCAGCCATGGCTATTTGTGTCAAAGGTTATCCCCTCTTCCACCCCTACAACAACATATGGTAGCTGGGGTAGAAGATGGCCTCAATGGCAAACCTCTCAGTTTTCTCTCTGGCAACTCATGGGGGTTCTGGAAAAGGAGGGGCCCCCAGGGGAAAATGACAGGTTTCTGCTACCCTGGCATCAGATGGTTTGAGCTGGCTCTAATTCTAACTCAACCAAGATGTGACAGAACTTGGCAGTATCTATTTGGGGGGGAAAAACCGCTATGATTTAGGAATATCACTTGTAGGGAGAGTACACAGGTATGAGAACAAGATTGCTCACTGGAACACTGTGAGGCAAAAATGTACAAATCGTCTTGCCAGGAACTTGTTACACAGATGAAGAAGGATGAGGTAGGTCCACACGCTATCTGGAAAGGCAGCCCTGGCATGTGTTAAGTGATAAAAGCAACCTAACACAATAAAACTTTCTAATGGAAAAAGGAATCTAGGGGTGGGCATCTGGTACAGTGGTTAGGACACAGCTTGGTATGCCCACACCCCAAATGGGAGTGTCTGGGTTGGAGTCCTGCCAGTCCTCCTGCTTCCTGTTGATGTATTCCTTGACAGGAAGAAGGTAAGGGCTCAGACACGTGGATCCCTATCACCCACACAGGCAATCCACATTCAGTTTTGGGCTCCCAACTCTTGTGGGCTGCCCAAAACGGTTGGTGTGGGCATTTAGGCAAATAAACCAGTAGATGGGAAATCTCTGTCTTTGCCTTTCAAATAAGGTGAAAAAAATTGTTTTAGACTACCTAGTTATGTATGTATAAACACAGAGGAAAGTTGGGAGCATGATGAACCAGATCATTAACTGAATTTTGTTTTGTTTTTTTAACCACATGGTGACTGAGACCAGGGAATAAAAGGGTTTTTTTTTTTTCTTAAATCCTTAGCTTCTATAGTATTTTTTAAAGAATAAAATATTTGTGTATTTTGTTTTGGAAACCAGAGAGAAATCTTCCATCCACTGGTTTATTTCCCAAATGGCCACAATGGTCAGTCCAGGCTGAAGTCAGGAACCCCGAACATTATCCGGGTTTCCCACATATGTAGGAGGAGCCCAAGTACTTGGGCCACCATCTGCTGCTTTTTCAAGTGCCGTTGGATTGAAAGAGCACCTGGGGCTTGAACCAGTGCTTTGATATGGGATGCTAGCATCACAGGTAGCAGATTAGCCTGCTGTACCACAAGACTGGCCTCAGTTTATATAGTTTTACAAAGACATTTTGGGATAAAAGTATTTCTTAAAAAGGATTTTATTTATTTAAAGGGAGGGGGAGAGAGAGAGAGAGAGAGAGAATGAATGAGAGAGTGGTCTTCCACCTGTTGGTTCTCTCTCCAATACACAATTTCTGGGGCTAACTCACGCAGAAGCCAGAGGCAAGGAGCTCCATCTGTGCCCTGCAAGTGAGAGATAGGGACCCTAGCGCTTAGGCCATCACCTGCTGTCTCTCCCAGCACATTAGTAGGAAGTTGGATCCAAAGTGGAACAGCCAGAAATTGAGCCAGCACTCCAAAGTGGGATAAGTGTTCTG